GCACCTGACCCAAGCCATGGTATTTTCAATAACCTCACATGCATGCGAAAGCTGAACAGTGAATAAGGAAGACTGTAGAAGAATTGACACATTTGAGTTATGGTGTTGGAGGAGAATATTGAAAGTGCCATGGGCTACCAAAAGAACCAACAGATCTGTGTTGGAAGAAGTGCAGCCAGAGTGCACCTTGGAGGCCAGGATAGCCAAACTTCATCTTTCATACTTCGGACATATTGTCAGGAGGGACCAGTCAATGGAGAATGATATCATGTTTGGTAAGGCAGAGGGACAGAGAAAAAGAGGAAGACCCCCAACAAGATGGATTGTCAAAGTGGCAGCATCAATGGGCACAAGTGTGGCAATAATAGGGTGGTCCAGGATTGGGCAGTGTTTCGTTCTGCTGTGCATAGGGTTGCTATGAGTTGGTACCGACTCCATGGCACCTAACAACAACAACAACATAGCGACCCTGCATAGGATTTCCGAGGCTGTAAACCTTTACAGAAGCAGAAAGCCTCATCTTTCTCCTGTAAGAAAGTTGGTTGTTTCGAACTGCTGACCTTGAGATTAGCAGCCCAACTCATAACCACTATGTTACTAGAGCTCCTTTGTACGTCTTAACTGCCAAAGCACTGAGAATTCAGGCCCAGCTAAGTTGACCCAAACCTTAACTATCACCCTTCTCAGGGAGCAGCAGTGAGGCATGCTCATATGCATCTCAAGATACATCCATGTCCATCTTCACAATTCCTCCACCCAGCAGTCCCCTGTCCTTCCTGACCACAAGGAACACCTGTGACTCAGAGACAAGGCTGGGCAGGGGCAAAGAGGTGGAAAAAATCTTACTTACTTACTCAACAGTAACTCTAAACCTCAACAGTAAGTCTAAAGCAAAAATGAGAAGGTTAGGGACAGGGAAACTAGAGTACTGAAACAGAGCAACCAGAATGCAATGAAAGAGAATGCTGACATACTGTGGAAAAAATCTAACTAATGCCGATGAACAAGTTGTATTTGTTGGTTGTCAAGTGGGAACCTGGTGGACTATGTAAACTTTCACCCAAAACATAATAAAATATTATTAAAAACAAAACAAAACAAGTGTTCACTGCTTGCCTTGTGAGCCTCCTCCATTTGTTGTTTAATGGGGTTCATTCTGGATTGAATTGTGTCCCTCCAAATATGTGTCAGCGTGTCTGGGCCATGATTCTCAGTGGCTTGGCAGTTATGCAATGAGGATCATTCTCCCGTGGGGTGATCTGATGTGATCAGTCAGTGTGTTGTAAGGGGATTTGGGTTGGAGGTAACATCCTTACTCAGGCCCCAGCCTTGATTTGATGTGTGCAGAGATCCTTTGGGCATGGCCCACTTCACCTTTGATCCTAGGAATGATGAAAGGAGAGAGACATGAGCAGAGACTGCCACCAAGGAAGAAGAGCCAGGAGCGGATTGTGTGCTCTGAGCTGAGAACCTCCTAGACCCAGGGGAAGACTGATGCCAAGACGCATGGAGATCTCCAAGGAGCACCGGGCCCACCGATGCTGAACAGAGACAAGGCCCTTTCCCCAGAGAGCCGTCCCCTAGAGCCAACACTGTCAATTCAGCCTTCTAGCCTCGGAAACTTTGAGAGATACGTTTCTGTTTGTGAAAGCCATCCCCTGTTGGTATTTCTGTAACAGCCGTATGAGATGGCTAAGACAGGGTCCAAATGCCCCTCAGCTTCTAGCATAGTCTCTTTCTTTTGGGGTGTCCTTACCTTGGCAGACAGTTCTCTTGAGTATGGTTTCCCCCCATATATCTCAAGCATAACTCTTCCGAAGACACCCATTTGTTAGCTGTTATTGTTAGGTGCCATCGAGTTGGTATCGACTCATAGTGACCTTATGCTAAACAGAATGAAACACTACCTGGTTCTGTGCCAACCTTACAATCGTTGCTACACTTGAGCCCATGCTGTTGCCACTGTGCCAATCCATCTTGTTGGGGGTCTTCCTCTTTTTTGCTGACCCTCCACTTTACCAAGCATTATGTCCTTCTCCCGGTACTGGTCCTTCCTGATAACATGTCCAAAGTTCGTGAGATGAATCTAGCCATGCTGGCTTTTAAGGAGCGCTCTGGTTGTATTTTTTTTGTACTTCTTCCAATAAGGTACCCTCTAGCCACGAAGAAAACAGGATGCCATTGCCCTACCAGACTCAGAAATCACTAGGCATTCATAGGGCTATAGTGTTGGCATCACTGAAGCCAGCCTCGGTTTTAGAATATTCTAGTTGGGAGCGAGGAGTCCCATAGTCTCTTGATGGGCATTTAGGCTGTCTCTGTCTTTTTGCTATTGTGAGTAATAATGCAATGAACATCAGTGTGCAGACATCTACTTGTGTTATGCTCTCGAAAAGCTAGAAATAGAAGCACTGTGTGTGTATGCTTTGTAATAAGTAAATTTTACCACATGCTCTAAGCGCACACATACACAAAGATGGGGGCACAAGTTCACACCTTAGTACTCGGAGGCACATGATTAAAGAAATTGGGTGGCCACTGCTCTAGAGAATGGAGACCCTGGGAATTAGACAGGATAACCAAAAGACAAGGAGAGGAGAAGGTTTCCCTCTAGCATGTTCTGTGATGGAAGCAGAGAGGGAAGGGAAGAAACCAGGTAGGGGTCACTCCAATCAGAGGCTCCAGGGGTCTCTAGAATTGTTAGGTGATGTCAAGTTGGCTGTGACTCATAGTGACGATCCGTCCAACAGAAGGAAACACTACCCGGTCCTGCACCATCCACACAATCATTACACCTGAGCCCATTGCTGCTGCTGCTACACCAATCCATCTCATTCAGAGTCTTCCTCTTTTTGTGGACCCTCCTCTTTACCAAGTATGATGCCCTTCTCCAGTGCCCAGTCCCTCCTGATGCCATGTCTAGAGTAAGAGAGATGACGTCTTGCCCTCCTCGCTTATGTGGGAGCATGGGTACCAGGCTCTGCTGCTGGGATCAGAGAGTCAGACATGCTTGGGTCCAGGAAGGAATGTCCTCTCAAGCTTCACTCATGTACCTGACCCCGCTGGTCCTGTCTCAGGAACTGTAGGATGGCCAGAACCTATCCCTCTCACCCCACAGCTGAGTCAGTGGGATTGCTGGGGAGGAATTCAGAGTGTGGGTGGAACTGTGCGCTCCTGAGCATCAAGCTGTATTTGGCCACGACTGAAGCCAGTAATCACATAGCAAGTAGAGCTCAAGGTAGCCTGCTCCAAGGACCGGAAGGTTTGTGTATGAGATTTCCTAATTGGGGTCTCCTGTGTCAATTTAATCAGTGTATTTAACTCTCCTCTAGGGCACCGCTCCTGCAAGAAAGATCATTCCAGAACCCCCTTCCCACCTCAAATAGTGTCAGAGCACCACAGTCATCTACCGGTTCACAGGAGGCTAGTGTTCCACTCCTCATGAGAGTGATGAGCTAGGAAAAGAAGGGTGATAGACACAGGGTCCTTCCAACATTCACATAGCCAACTCGTATTCAGCGCATGAAAACAATGCAACCGTGGTGTTTCCCAAGCACCTTCCTTAGCCCGTTGCTCTGTGAACCCGAAGTGTCATCCTGGAGCAGCACGTTTGGGAAGTCCACACCACTGTTCTGATAATTCACTTCTTTTATTCAACTGAAGTTAGACTACTCCTCAGAAGTAAGGATGATGAAACTTCAGCTCACTACCTTTGGGCACTTCATCAGGAACTAACAATCATCATGTTCCCTAAAGGAGTTGTTAGGTGTCGTAGAGTCAGTAACATCAGAAGGAAACAGTGCCTGGTCTTGGTAAAGGAGAGGACCCATGAAAATGAGGAAAACCCTTCATGAAGTGTCTGGATACAGTGGCTACAAACACATCGATGCCCCAAGCGTGGTCAGAACCAGGCTATACATCATCTGGGTAATCATCAAGTCCCCATATACTGGTCCTGTCTCAATGGTAACCAGCAACAGCTGCCTCTTTCCATCTGTATGTCTGTGAGGGAGGGTCGTGTAGGACAGGGCTGGGGACCACCCCCAGTATGCTCCAGCATCCATCATTCATTGAGACCAATGTCTGGTGAAGTCAGAATTGGAATTTTAAATCTTGCCTGATTTGTTTTGTTTTGTGCTGTTTTTCCACCCTAGGAGAACCAGGCCATCCTGGCAGCCCAGGGAAGGATGGATTGAATGGAATGAAAGGGGAACGAGGTCAGAAATTGCTTTCCTTTATTGCCATGATCTGATTCTGAACTTTCAATGAGTTAACAATTACTAAATGTTTACAGAGGATAAGTTTTGATCAAAGAAAAAGATGAATCTCTATCAAAAGGGGGGAAATGTGCATCAAAATTTCAAATGATCATGGACGCTAGACTTTATGGAGTCATGACGTCTGGATGAAACCCTGAAAGGATTGCCCTAAGACAACTTTAAAATCTTAAATCAGACTATTCCCTGAAGTCTTCTTTAAACTGAACAATTGTTGTTAAGTGTCATTGTGTTGATTACAACTCATCAAGACCATGTATAGACCCATGTGCTAGATAAAGAGCTCTGGTTAAGTGTTGGAATGCTAACCTAGAGATTGGCAGTTCAAATCCACCAATTGCTCCCCAGGAGACAGATGAGGCTGTCCGTCACAATGTACAGTCTCAGGAACCCTGAGGAGCACTTCATCTCTGTCCTACAGGATCACTGCGAGTCAGAATGGCCTCAATGGCAGTGGGTATGTGCTAGATTGTTCTCCATGCTTTTCATGTGCTGACTCAGTACAGTTGTTGGTCTTGTTAAGTGCTATCGAGTCGGTTGCAACTCATAACGACCCTATATAGGGTTTCTGAGGAGCAGCTGGTGAGTTTGAACCACCGACCTTGCAGTCCAAACTATCATTGTAGTCTTGTGCATTAATCAGCAGTGTCACACCAGGACTCAGTCTAGTAGCCCTCTAAATTAGTTAGGAGTCCCTGAGTGGCATAGACAGTTAAGCATTTGACTGCTAACCAGAAGGTTGGCAGTTCAAACTCACCTAGGGCCACCTCAGATGTAAGGCCCAGCAATCTACTTCTCCCTCAAATCAGCCACTGAGGCACAGTTCTGACCTGACCCACATGGGGTCCCCAGGGTACAGAGTCCACTTGACGACAGCTGATTTTTCTTTTGTGATGCTGAGCACTATTTCTATCCAGTCTTATGGAGAAGGGACAGAGGTGTATGTGGCTAGAACCCTGGCCCTCCAAGCCCGTGTGGTTGGAGGAAGTGGGGAATCGGCCAATGAGCATGTATGTAGACCACTGCATGGGCAATCTTTCTTACAGGAGAAAGATGAGGCTTTCTGCTCCTGTAAAGATTTACAGCCTCGGAAACCCTGTACAGAGTCGCTATGAGTCAGAAATGACACCATGGCACATAACAACAACAATGACAAACCAGAAGGTCAGTGGTTCAAGCTCACCAGTCGCTTCTAGGTAACCCTACATAGAGTCGCTATGGATTGGAAATGACTCGACGGCACTTCACAACAACACACTACACTACGTGTATACTACTTCACAACAACACACTACACTACGTGTATACTACACTACGTGTACACTACACTACGTGTATACTACACTACATGTACACTACACTACGTGTATACTACACTATGTGTACACTACACTTCGTGTGTACTACTTGGTCTCAGAACTAAAGTTGTCTTTCCCAAGGTCCTGCTTCATAGCCCTCTCTCCCTTTATCCTTTTTTCTCCATTTAGGAGCAGATGGGAACGTTGAAACTAAAGGCATCAAAGGTGAACCAGGCTCAAGAGGATCCCCAGGGAAGCACGGGCCAAAGGGATTTGTGGGTCCCCCAGGAGAGAAAGGCTTCAAAGGAGAGATTGGGCCTCAAGGACAAAAGGGAAGTAAAGGTGACGTGGGACCCCTTGGGCCAGAAGGCTTACAAGGTAGCCCTGGACCTTTAGGCCCAACCGGCTTACGTGGCCCCGTGGGTCCCATTGGAAAACCTGGTCCCCAGGGAGAGACTGGGCTCATGGGTCCCCAGGGTGAGCCAGGAGCCCGGGGAATGAGAGGTTGGAAAGGAGACCGAGGAGAAAAAGGGAAAATTGGCGAGAGTCCCGTGTTGCCCAAAAGTGCCTTCACTGTGGGGCTGACAGTGTTAAGTAAATTCCCGCCTTCAGATCTGCCCATCAAGTTTGACAGGATCCTGTACAACGAACTCAACCACTACAACGTGGCCACGGGGAAGTTCATGTGCCATCTGGCCGGGGTCTACTACTTCACCTACCACATCACAGTGTTCTCCAGGAACGTGCAGGTGGCTTTGGTCAGAAACGGGGTGAAAGTCCTACACACCAAGGATGGTTATCTGAGCTCTGAGGACCAGGCATCTGGGGGTGTGGTGCTTGAGCTGAAACTTGGGGATGAGGTGTGGATGCAGGTGACTGGAGGAGAGAGGTTTAATGGCTTGTTTGCAGATGAGGATGATGACACCACGTTCACGGGCTTCCTACTGTTCACCACCTCCTGACCAACCTAGATAGTTTCTGGGCCTGCCCGGCCACCAGCCAGGACTAGCCCAGTAAGACATCCCCAGTTGAGTTTCTATTACTCGTTCTCATTGCTACAATCATCAAACCAGGGAGCGCAGGAGACTGGTTTTTTTGAAACGATCTTTCTGAGAATAAACGTCAAAATCTTTGTGTTGTCTCATAGAATTACCTTATTTACTCGTTCTCTCATTCCCATTCTCTGAAGACGCTTGCGCTTGGGTGTGGCTTTGGAAAGAATGTGTTCACATCATGTTAATGGTCTGAGGAGCCATTCTGTGGTTTCTGTCTCATATGTGCTTCATATGAGCCCTGATGGTACAGTGGGTTCAGCATTGGGCTGCTGACTTCAAGGTTGGCAGTTCAAACCCACCAGCTGCTCCACGGAAGACAGATGAGGCAGTCGGTTCCTGTAAAGATGCCAGCCTTTGGGGGCAATTCTATTTTATCTTACTCTATCCATCCCTATGATTCAGAATGGACACTACAGAGTGGGGGCTGTGTTTCAGGGAGAAAGAAAAGAAGCGTGTTTATTCTATTTAGTGACTAACTGGTGACAAGGAGGCATCCCAGCAAACTAAAGACTATTTTGCTCATTTTCTTTCTTGGGTTTTAACTGTATTCAATTCAGAAAATCTTTGTTTAGTCAACCATTTGCCAGACTTACACAAAGACACATAAGGAAGACTTCCTATTATCAAAGAGGTGCCACATCAGCCCTCTGCTGTTGTTGTTGTTGTTAAGTGCCGTCAAGTCGATTCCGACCCATAGCGACCTTGTATAGGGTTTCCGAGGAGCAGCTGGTGAGCTTGAACTGCCGACCTTGCAGTTCAAATGGCTTTGCAGCCTGGCGCACTAACCCACAACGCCACCCCAGGACTCCACCAGCACCTCTGGGTAGGTTCAAATCACCAATCTTCCAGTTAGAAGTCGAACGCCTGTTTTTACCCTTTGCTCTCCCACATGGCAGGCAGTCTTCCTTTGTAAAGATTACAGTCTAAGAATCTTAGGGGGCAGTTCCATTCTGTCACATGGAGTCGCTATGACTCACAATGGAATGGACTGCATGCATCTAAAACAATAACAGCACAGTTCATACTTTATAATTATGATAATGATGATATTGTTGTTGTTGTTGTTAGGTGCCATCGAGTCAGTATCGACCCATAGCGATCCTATGCACAAGAGAACAAAAAACTGCCTGTTCCTGGGCCAACCTCACATTGTTGCCACACTTGAGCCCATTGATGCTGCCACTTTGCCAATCCATCTCACTGGAGGTCTTCCTCTTTTTCTCTGACCCCCCACCTTACCAAACATGATATCCTTCTCCAACGACTGGTCCCTCCTGACAATATGTCCCGAGTATGAGACATGAAGTTTGGCCATCCTGGCCTCCAAGGAGCACTCTGGCTGTACTTTTTCCAACGCATATCTATTGGTTCTTTTGGCAGCCCAGGCACTTCCAATATTCTCCTCCAACACCATAACTCAAAAGCATGAATTCTTCTACTGTCTTCCTTACTCACTGTCCAGCTTTCGCATGCATATGAGGTTATTGAAAATACCATGGTTTGGGTCAGGCGCACCTTACTCCTCAAGCTGACATCTTTGCTCTTCAGCACTTAAAAAGGGTCTTGTGCAGCAGATTTGCCTAATGTAATACATCGTTTGATTTCTTGACTGCTGCTTCCGTGAGTGTTGATGGTTGATCCAAGAAGACTCTTTTTCTCTGTTGATAATAAGTTTGTGATAATGAATCCAGTGAGTTAATTTACCTGATTTCATGCAACTATAACGCTGACATGCAGTCACACACATATATTAAATTTAAGCCATTTTTCAGAGTGGAGATTGATTCATTGAAGCATGCATTTAACCTGGGTTCGATGGCTCCCTTCTCTAACTACTCTCTCCTTAGGGGAATTCGAACAGGTCTGACTTGGCTGGTCCTGTCCACTTACACAGTACCGGGCTCAGAAGAGTCATTTCCTACTCCAAGCACACGATGGCGCTGCAGGAATAGCTGTTGCTGAGACAGCGGCAGAGGACACTCTTGCCCTCGGCGCGTCGACGTGCCCACGTCCTAAGGGACGCATTCCCCGACCCAGAAGCGCGAGTCATCACGTGTCTCAGCGTGGGCCGCTGCCTTGGAAACGCGGAGCCCGCTTCTGGTGGGAGCTGCGGCGCGGGCCGGCGACAAGATGCTCTGCGCCGGGAAGTTCTGCGGGATCGGAGCCGGGACAGCAGCTTTGCAATGGTTGCACGCCTCGCGGGGCGGCCTCCTCGCTGGCATCCGGGCCCGAGGGGTCAGCACCAGCTGGTCTCCGGTGGGCGCCGCCTTCAATGTCCAACCCCAGGGCTACAGTCTGGACTTGTTCGGCGAGCGCCGGGTGAGCGGCGCGGGAGGGCGTCCCCGGTCATCCCGGGCCAGCGGAATTCCCAGCGGGCTTGTGTGTGCAGCGTGTCCACGTGTGCTGTGCTGTCCTCGCCTGTCACCTCCGGGTGTGGCTAAGGGGAACCGGGCAGAGATCCCTGCCTAAACTGTGGGCACCACGACCTGCTTCCGCATGCGCCTCGGGTCGCTGCGTGAGCTTAAACGTTCCCCCCCCCCCCCAACTTTTGCGTACACTTGCCCGGTGGTTTCACATCAGTATTAAATCTGTCTTTTTGCAAGAAGACATTTGCCTTCAGTGGTGTAAAAGCAATTCCACTGAAACCTGGTATTTCATAACTCTTTCATTTCTTTTTTTCAGAGTCTGTTCTTGTTTTCTTTTAAAATACAAAACTGTTTCTGAAGCCCACTGCCATCGAGTGGGTTCCGACATTTAGCCACTGTATAGGGTAGAGTAGAACTGCTCCATAGGGTTTCCAGACTGTCAAGCCTTAGAGGAGGAGACAGCCTCATCCTCTTCCTTCTAACTGGCTGGTGACCTGTAACTAAGTGCCCCAGGAGCAGCGTTGTGAAGTGCTGTCCTCAAGTCAAGTCAGGTTTGACTCATAGGGACGCTGTAGGGTTTCTGAGGAGCTGCTGGTGGGTTTGCACTGCTGACCTTGTGATTAGCAGGCTAGCGCTGGTCCTACAGCACTGTACCAGGAGACCAGTAGCAGTGCGGGGGTAGTGGAAATCGTCAGTGTTTGAATTAATTAAATCATTTATAGGATCAAATTTAAAGATCAGTTTTATTGTGCCTCCAGCTCTCCTTCATATATGTTCTTCACTTCAGTGTAGTTTGCAAACAGGTTAACTTCACGGATCCCATCTGGCACAAGCAGTAGGGTGGATCAGGCGTAACCTTTTACTTGTTGGCAATCCGGAAAACGCATGCCTAAAAATTCCAGTGTCTCCATTAGTTTATTTTACTGAATTCCCTCCATGTATTAGATACTACAAAGAGTCCTGCTGTCACTGTAGGATAAGTACAGGTTGTCGCTTCAAACCCACCAGCTGCTCTGTGGGAGAAGGGACGCTGTTGTTGTTAAGTACCGTGGAGTCGGTTCGGAATCATAATGACCCTACACAGGATTTCCGAGGCTATAAATCTTTATGGGAGCAGAACGCCTCATCTTTCTCCCTCGGAACCGCTGGTAGTTTCGAACTGCCGACCTTGAGGTTAGCAGCCCGATTCATAACCACTACGCTACCAGAGCTCCTTAAAAGAGGCTATATGCTCCCATAAAGATTTACAACCTCGGAAACCCTATACAGGGTCGCTGTGAGTTCGAATCCACTTGATAGTAGTGGGTTTGGTGTTTTGGTTTATTAGGTAGCACATTGAGACTAAGTGGTTAACAAAGATGACTGGCAAACTGCCTGGAGAAGTTTGCTGTCTAAATACCAACCACCAGGTGTGGGGTCGAGTCCCATGTAGGGTGGGTCCAGCCGCATCAGCCTCGAGCTGAACTCCATAAGGTTTGGATGGATTGCTTTCTTGGAAACTTATTACCAGGTCTTTCTTCTGGGGCACTTCTGGGTAAAATGGAATTACTGGCCTTTGGGTTAGCCCTCGAGAATGTTAACCTTTTACATCACAAGCAGAGAAGACTTTTAAGCAGACAATTTCCGATCTTGATACGTGAAAAAACACAGATGATAGATGTAGAGTAGGTGCCGCTCCACCTCTCTCACTGTCTGTTGGTAATCTCAGCTTGTTTTTCAATTTCTGCAAGTGTGTCACCTTAACAGCAAAATGAAAATGAGCATCCCTGCTCCATAATTTAAGCAAGAAACCCTGTGAAAGGTCCATAGTTCATGACGGAGTCTGCAGGAGGTGCATACTAAGTGTTTGAGTTGATACAAGCAGGAATGAAATGGAATGAAAAGAGAACGGAGTTTTTCCATGAGCCTCCTGGCCTTAGGAAATAGTCTTCCTCATTAGATGGAGGGATTTTTCCCCCCAACCCCCACCCGTCTTTATGAAGACACGGAAACACTGAATTGGCTGCCAGTTCCTGCCTGTGACTTGGTTTCATTTGTTGAAATCTTTCTTAAGGCTCTTGGATGGCAGAAATGGTTTGCGCTTGACTGCTAGTCAAAATGTTGGTGGTTCAAACCCACCTAGTAACACTGGAAAAGGAAAGACCCGGTGGTGATCTGTCTTTGATACTGATTCTTGTATGTGCCATCGAGTCAGTTCCGACTCATTGTGACCTTGTCTAGGCTTCTCATGGCTGGTAATCTTTGCAGGAACAGAGAGCTTTATCTTTCTCCTGTGGAGCAGCTGCTGGCTATCTGCTTGAACTGACATTGTGCTTTGCAGTCCAGTGCTTAACATACGTACAAAGTCACAGTGCTCCCGTAGAGTGCCAACACAGCCCTGGGGACAGTTCTAGTCCTTCATACTTGGGACCACCTTGAGCTGGAATCAACTGAATGACAACTAACAAGATTTGTACACTTGATAAAGAACACGTCACCCGGAGCTTACCATTGTTGAACAGCTGGTCCTGTGTACCTAGGGGTGCTGGTGGTACTAGGGTAAACACTGGACTGTGAACCATAAGGCCAGCAGTGGGGAGAAAGATGAGGCTTTCTGCATGCGGTAAAGGTTTACAACCTTGGAAACCCTAGACTAGATCACTATGAGTTGGAACCAATTCAACAGCGCTTACCAACAATGCTGAGACTTTATTGTATGCTAGACATGGTCGTGAGTCCTTGGATACATTTCTAGCTAAGGACCTGTATCCATGCTCTGAAGTATGTGTGGGGTAACTTCAGAAAGTTGGTGGAAAAATGGAATTAGAAGATAATGGAATTTTCCCACAAACTCTTTGAGGCTCCCCTCATACTACCATCCCAGGTGTATCTAATGAAAACAGAGCGCCCTATATCTCTCTGCCCTCTGCCTTCAAGGCAACAGCCACCATTTCATACCTAATAATGATTATGTTGTTATTAAGTGCTCTCTTGTCGGTTCCTACCTACAGCGACCCGGTATAGGATATCTGAGGAGCAGCTGGTGAGCTTGAACCATCAACCTTGCAGCCAAAGCGAATTTGCAGTCCAGCGCATGAAACCACACCAGGACTCCGGCATCTATTAAACTTCGTGTGCCAGGCATTGTTAGGGTTTGTTGACGTGTTTCATCTCATGTAGAGATGTACCTGGTGGTGTAGGATAGGCACTGGACTGCTAACAAGATTGACAGTCCAAACCCAGCAGCCACTCCTCAGGAGAAAAATCAGACTTTCTGCTCACATAAACATTTGCATCTTTGGGACACCTAAATAAAGTCGCCGTGGGTGGATATATCTCGTTTAATGTTTTCCAGGGCGTCCTAGTTATGAGTCCGACTGTGAACCTCAAGGTCAGCAATTTGAAACTACCAGCTGTTCTGTGGGAGAAAGATGAGGCTTTCTGGTCCCGTAAAGATTTACAGCCTCGGGAACCCTATACACGGTCGCTGTGAGTCAGAACCGACTCCACGGCACACCACCACCACCACAACCAGGGGTCTATAAGGAGCCATGGTGGTGCTGTCAGGTGTTAGGGTCCTAACCACAAGATCAGTGGTTCAAACCCACCAGCCACCCCTCTGGAGAGCTATGAGGTTGTTTGCCTCTATAAAGATTTACAGTCTCAGAAACCCTGGGGAGCAGAACTGACTCCGTGGCAGTGATTTCATTTTGTTACCTGCCTTGTGAGTTAGATCCTGTAGTACTAAGTGACTGAGATGGAATTTAAACTCATGCCATCCTATTTTGTTTTTTTGTTTTTTTTACCTCTGATGAAATAATTGCAAATTGAATAAAATTTAACATTCCTGAAGCGTGGTTGATAAGTCTCATTGATGTGGAGTCAGGTAGGGAAGCCGGGAGCCTTGTCTGTGATCACAGGTGACGGAAACAAGGTTTTCTGTGTCAGAAGTGTTTCTATTGAATGGTACCATGAATCTGAGTCTCTGATTGCCAACTGGAAATCTTCTTTGCATGTTAGGGCCTTTTTGGAGTTCCTGAGCTCAGCACCCCGGAAGGATTCCATGTGGCACAAGAAAAGGCTTTGAGGAAAACGGAATCGCTCTTGGAGCTAGCGAGCCGGACGGCGCCAGGCCCGCAGACGGTGCTCATCTTTGACGAGCTCTCCGATTCCCTGTGCAGAGTGGCCGACTTGGTAAGGAGCTGCGCCTAAGACTCGAGACCACCTTTGAAGCAATTACAAATCGAGCTACTCCCATCCTGTTTGGTATAATTTGGTAACACAGCGATTAGTATGTGATCAGGAAGGGGAGCCACATAGAGGAAAAGGCAATGTTTAGGACTCAGAGTTTGCCCTGTAACATGAGGGGTTACTCATCTCATCGGGATTCTTCCTTTATGGAAGCTTCTCCCAAAGTTCTAGTAGGAACATTTTACCTGACATGCCCCATAAAACTGTGGGAGAAGATGAGGCTATCTGCTCCCACAAAAACGTACAGCCTCAGAAACCCTATACAAGGTCACTATGGGTAGAAACTGACTTGATGGTACTTAACAAAAACAAAGGCGCTCTGGTAGCGTAGTGGCTACGAGTAGGGCTACGAACTGCAGGTCAGTAGTTCAACACTACCAGCTATTCCGTGGGAGAAAGATGAGGCTTTCTGTTCCATAAAGATTTACAGCCTCGGAAACCCTGTACAGGGTTGCTATGAGTCGGAACTGACTCCACGGCACATAACAACAACATGAACAACAGTAAAATTCTTCTGAAGAAAAGGCACTTTTTAGCACCCTTTTTAGTAATACATTTTCTGATGAAAGTCAGGTTTTAGCATCAGAACGATTATGTTATGTTCTATTGAAGAACTTTTTTATAGATACATTTTTAAGTTGAAATGGACCTAGTTCTCTTCACCAATTAAAAAACTCATTGCCCAGATCGAAACCATGGTTTTCTCTCCACCCAACCTGCTGCCCTTGAGTTAATTTGGATGCAGAGCGGTCTATATCATGGTTGCTGGTGTCTGCGAAGGTGGTGAGTTGGCCAAACACTGATTCTTCCTGTTCCTCCCTGCTTGGCATTGGACTGTAGAGTTCTTCCCTTCTTCCATTCACCCAGTAGTGAGCCCCTACTATGTGCCAGGCACTGTGTGTTCTCCACACCAGGAAGAAGGCAGTCCTGAATATGACAGACAACTCCGGCTTCCTGGAGTTTCTGTTCGAGCCGTCACCTTTTATTGCGAACCGACTAGGCAGGAGCAGGCCTGGATTGACCCATCTCACCTTCTCAACACCTCTCCCTTTTCCGATGAGGGAAGACAGGCTCAGAGGGTGCAGTGAGGTCCAGAGGCCACCCTGCCTTTAAGTGGGGGGCTGGCTCTGAAGCCAGCAGCTGGCTGTGGAGCCCACACTCTCCGTCACTGTCCTTCGCCCGGAGATGGCGGAGACTGTGGACTAAGTACTCAGACAGATGAAACCTCACCGGGGGATGTAAGCAAGTTCGTTCGCTTCCCATCTCTCAGAAAAGTGATAAAACACTCATTTTGTTTTCTTTAATACAGTTGTTATATGATGCTCTCTCATCATACGAACGAGCTTTTGAAATAGTTCCTGTTGGCAAATGACACGCACTTTCTACATCTGTTTGCCAACCAATCAGTCCCACCCCCTCACCCCTCAGGTATTTTTGCAAAAAGCACTATGCTAATTTTTTTTTTGCCATAACATGTTAAAAAGTTGGCATAGCTACTAGGAAAATACCTGGGGGAAGGCAGGGAGGAAACACTTGGCCAACAGATGTAGAAGGTGCGTAGTATTTGTGTAAAAATACGGGCTCTAGCATTTTGAAAGTTAATGTTGATTATAGATTCTGCAACATGTAGGTGAGTCATATAAAAAATATTCTGGAAGTTTTGCATAGCTCATTCTTCAGGTGCTAGGAGTCATCGTGTGGTGCTGTAGGATAAGCACTGGACTGCTAACTGGAAGTCAATGGTTCAAACCCTCAGAAACTGTGCAGTGTCGCTGTGAGTCAGAACCGACTCGACAGCACTTCACAACAACAACAGTGATGTCATCTTGTCATTGCTGTTGACAAATATTTTAGCAGACTATAGATTTAAATGTTTTTGAAATGAAAGCAATTTGATACTGAAATTACGAAGTCTTACCATGTGGTGATTTTATTTCATAAGTTTTATGCACACATGTTGTATTCCTGGAGAATGAAGAATATACATTTTTGCCCTTTCTTGGGAGCTTTCGGAAAGTTTGTGGAAAAATCCCATATCTTTTCATTCAACTTTTCCATGAACTTTTTGAAGTCCCCTCATATTGCCATAAAATGAAAACTAAAGCCTAGTCTATATATGATTTAATTTTTATTTTTAAGTCATCTTAAAAAAAATCCCAAAAAACCCACTGCCACTGAGTTGATTCCAACTCATAGTGAACCTGCGCAGGGTGTCCGAGGTTGCAAACCTTTATGGCAACAGACAGCCTCGACTTTCTATTGCCAAGTGACTGGGTTGAAACAGCTGACTTTGAAGTCAGCAGTCCTGTGCTTGTCCTATAGCACCACCAGGTGGTCAGTGTTACAGCAGTAATGGTGGTGGTGGTCAGGTTTACTGTAGTAATGATGGTGGTGGTCAGGTTTACGTTAGTAATGTTGTTGTTAAGTGCTGTCGAGTTGGTTGTGACCCTGTATAGGGTGTCCAACAGGAGCTGATGAGCTTGGACCACCGACCTTGCAGTTCAAACAACTTTGCAATCTGACGCATTAGCCCACAGCACCACACCATATTTTACTACAATGGCAATCAAGAAAGAATAAGCCCTTTTTTCCTGCACAAAGACTAGACTATAGTTAAACTAGTCTTGAGACTACCTGAGGGGACTTCAGAAAGTTTGTCGAAAAGATTCCATTACTTTAGATTCCATTTTTTCATGAACGTTTTAAAGCCCCGCTTTTGTACCATGTATTGATTTTGTTTTGTTTTTCAAGTTTTCGTTGTGAATTCAGTGATAGTCTAACATGGGAGAACATTGAATTTTTTTTTTTTTAGAGTTTTTCTTTGGTGCCAGGTTAAGATGTGAGAACCATGTTAAAAACAATTTTGCTTGGAAAGTTTGAGAGTATCTGATACAATCTGAAATCAAATCTGCTTTTCTGGAATGATAGCCTTCAAAAGAATTCTTCGTGTTTACATTCGAAGGAAGGTGCAGAATTTGTCACATGACGTTAGTGAAGGTGTTTCATTTGGAGTGAAACAAATTTGGCGCCGAGTTTGAATGAGAGAGTTCACTGTTGAGAAAGAAGTGATCTGGGCCGCTTGATGAATTTAGGGGCTCCCAGTAATGGAAACTCTGACGTGAAGCCCAACGTCCTTTTGAAAGCTCAGGTCGTTCTTTGAACTCTCCGGTCCTGCAAGACAATCTTCCTTCCATCACGTGCCCTCTGGTTCTGTCTTCCCCCTTTTCCAGGCTGATTTTGTGAAAATTGCCCACCCTGACCCCGCGTTCCGAGGGGCTGCTGAAGAAGCCTGTCGAAGCATCGGCACCGTGGTGGAAAAGTACGTGGGGTGCCCTTCTCCACTCCAGGTGGCATGGTTGAGCGTTTGCCCCCAGAGGTGGTGTGTGAGGGTGTGGAACGGAGTCCTGGGCTAGTTCTTTCTCTTCTCTCAGTTTCTCATCTGTAAGTGGGATAATGAAGGGATCTGCCTTTTAGGATTACTGTGGGGCTTGAAGGAGATAACACAGCGTGGAACGTGGTGTTGGCCACACAGCGGACATGCACCTGGGAAGTCTGAAGAGGAAGTGGCAGATGGTTTGGAGAACCTTGCCCTGACCTACAGGAAGCAGATTGTGTTAGACTGCTCATGCTTCAGCCCTGGAGGGTACTAGGGTTTTAGACAGTTCGAGGGCAGTGACAGCAGCCTCCAACTTGGGCTGAGGTGGGTGCTAGGTCTGGCCAAGAGCTGGCTGGCACATCCGTGGAGCGGTCCCTCTGGTTAGCACATGCAGCCCGAGGTGACCATTGTATCAGAGCCCAGACGGCTTCAGTAGCCTGGTCGCGGAGTAGTCATGGAGCCAGACTGGAGCTGAGGCTTGGGACTCCACCGCCCGTGCTTTTGACCACTGCCTACCATTCTTACCCGGGTGTTGGGGTAGAACGGGAAGAAAAACAAAGGAAATACAGGCCTTTGGCATATTGCTAATGGGAACCGCCTCTGAGTGGTAGCCAAAAATCAAAACAAAACCACAAAACCACGCCAACTGTCATCGAGTTTGTTCACACTGCTCCTTAGCGTAGTGGTTACGAATCAGGCTGTGAACCACAAGGTCAGCGGTTCGAAACTACCAGCTGTTCCGCAGGAGAAAGATGAGGCTTCCTGCTCCCATAAAGATTTACAGCCTCGGAAACCCCGTACAGCGTCGCTTTGGGTCGGAACCGACTCCACGGCACTTAACAACAACAATCTTTATGGAAGCAGACTACTTCATCTCTCTCCCATGGAGCAGCTGGTGGGTTTGAACTGCTAGACTTACGGCTAATCCAGTGCTTAGCCCACTGCACCAGTCAGCGTCCTTTGAGGGAAAGCCAGGCCTGTTCAATCACTAGTCACCCCATCCTCTCCTCCCCTCTCCTGAGTCCGTGTCCCCTCTTCTCTTCCAGAGTGGTCCCTACTCCTCCCTTAGGTGAGTGTCTTTCCCTCTCCTACCTAGTTCAGTGTCTAAGTGGAATCCAAATGAAACAAAGGAAACTACCTATCCCAGACTGTTGGGACTCCAAGCATGTGTATGCTCCAACTGAGCACCACTGTTTTGATGGAAAGTGCAAAAAAAAAAATCATGTGCTTTTTTTGGTTTGTTGATTTTTCTAGGTTGAACACAAATGTGGAATTGTATCAAAGTCTACAGAAACTGCTAGCTGATAAAAACCTTGTAGATTCTCTGGATCCAGAAACCAGGTGTGTATGCCTTTGGGCTCATTGTATTGGTGACTCTAGCGGTGAGGGGCAGCAGGTCTCCTACACCTGGGATTCTGGGATTCCCATCTCTCGTTCCTGGGATTCTGGGATTCCCATCTCTCGTTCCTGGGATTCTGGGATTCCCATCTCTCGTTCCTGG